CTGGGCTGGAAGCCTTTTGGCCCTCCAAGGGACTTTGCTGCTGTGCCTGGCACGGTCTCTGTGTACCACTGGAGTTAGAGAGGTCCCAGGGGCAATTTCAACATCTCCTGGCCCTGGCATTATCTCACTGAGCCTCTGTGCTTTTGTTTCCGGGAAGCAGCTACCACTGGGCATGCCTGGTTCATCGCACAGGCCCACTCCTACAGCCCAGCTCCCAGGACCCTGCCAGACACAGCAGGCTCTGCAGTGTCTTATTTAGTGAGTGGGAGGTAGATGGCAGGTGGACTAAATCTTTGCGTAAAAAGGAAAATCTGCCTGTTTGCTCTGTCCTCTTAGCCTATTGGGATGGTCTTCCAGGACAAGGTATCCCTCTCCAATTATGGGAAGGGGTCTGGAAGTCACACAGGAACTGTCACTGGAATGCGGTGGCTGGGAGCAGTTGGTGAGGGGAGAGCAGCATCTGGAAGTGGGTTGAAGGGGAGCCTGTGGGATTTCCTGGTTGAGATGTAAGTCAGGGAAGGGAGAATCGAATGTGGAGCCAGAGTTTAGGCCCTGCAGTTAGAAGGAGGTGTTTGCCCCTGTGATGGAAACTTGTGGTATAGCAGTTTGAGGGGCTTTCAGGAGACTGTTAGGACACGGGTGATGAATTGGGGTATCGGAGATGTCTACTGGAGGTGCAGGCACCTGTATGAAGCGTGTGTGTGTCTGTGTGTGTGTGTGTATTCTCAGCATATGTATGTGTGTGGGAGAGAGAGTGAGTTAGCATGTATCTAGAATCTAGGCTCCCAAAGCTATGGAAACTGCTTCGGGAGGAGACTACTGGGTCCATGGTACTCACTCGCTAGTCGCTTGCTGCATCCCAAGCTCTAACGGAGACCTTTCGGGGTGGGAGTGAGGGACCAAGAGGCGGAGAACTGGTGACAATCCTGGACTTCAGAGTTGTTTGGGAAGGCAGGTCCCACCTGGGTGAAGCAATTAGAAACCTTAAGGTTTCAGACTTAGAGCAGAGGAGGCTGAGGGAGGGGAAATTGTGAGACCTGGAGCAGTGGGAAAGCGGGGCTTGGCCTAAGCCTGGGGGGACAAGCTGACTGGGCTCGGCCAGGTGGAGGGGAAGGGCCATTCGGGCAGAGGGTAGGTGAGAGCCCAGAGGCTTAGTCTCACGGTTACTCCTGGTGGCTTATCAAAGAGCTTTCAGACTTATTGACAGAGCTAGATTTACATCCATGCTAGACGGACCGGAAGTAGGAGAAGCCTGCAGCCCCCACATCCCTGGCAGCTCTCCTGAGCCCCGGTTATTTTAGGTTTCAGTCCCAAGGCCCAGGAAGCCTTTGTCCAGCTTCATGGCAGTTAATGACAGCCTGTCCTGCTGGACCATTTAAAAACAGCTTGACTATTTTTACGCACAGGAGGCGGCCGGGTTACCCCTCCCAGAACTGTGTCAGTATAGAGTGCTTTTAAGGAAACTTGGCTGTGACAGGCAGAGGGGCCATGGTCTCAAATCACAGCCCTGTGGCCAGAGGCAGGATGTGTCCATGGGTACCTCTGGGGGTGTCAGGCGGTCATCTTCACACAGCATCTGAATTTAGAGATAATTCTACCCTTGGTGGTAGGACTGGAAAGCCTCCCTCTGCCCTTCACCGGATGTGCCTCAGACCTCATCCTTGCTAGTGTCTTGGGACAGTGCTGGTGTGGTGTGGCCAGGTGAGAGCGGAGCTTTCTCCTGAACCTTGGGTGAAGCAGTTTAAAGTGGCTTTTCCAAGGAGCCTTGTCGGTGACTCCTGTCCTTCTGAAAACACCCTGGGATCCAGGAAGAGAGGAGAAGCAGGCTGAGGCATGGGAGCTATGTGACGCATGTGGTGGGGCACACTTACCACAAACAGGGACAAACAGGGCTTCACTGTGTCGGCCATATGCTTTACTTCTAAGTCAGTATATATAGAGACATGTCTTTATATACAAGTCAATCTATGTGCTTTACTTCTAAGTCAGTATGTATAGAGACATGTCTCTATATACAAGTCAATCTATGTGCTTTACTTCTAAGTCAATATATATTCTCTCTATACAAGTCAATATATTATGCTTTACTTTTAAGTCTATATATTTAAGTTTATATATATATAAGTCAATATATATGTGCTTTGCTTTTAAGTTAATATATATATATATTTTCCTTCTATCCACTACCTAGTTTCTAAGCAAAATTGTATTTATTTATTTATTTATTTATTTGAGCACACAATGTTAATCCTTGACAAAATCATACAGTGCTCCAACTCTCCTTCAGACAGCCTCTCTGGCCCTTTGTCTGTCGGACCCTCTTGTCTTGGCTTCTCCCAAGCTCTGAGCCTGTGTGTTAGCTTCTCTTCCTGTTTCTGTGATAGGATTCCCTGACAAAGGCACTTAAGAGAGAAAGAGCCTAACTGGCTCACAGTTCCAGGAGACAGTCTACCGCCATGGGGACTGCCAGAATTTAAAGCAACTGGTCGCACACCACCCACAGTCAAGGCCAGAGAGTGCTGGATTAGTCCATGGCAATGCTCAGCTGGCTCTTCTTTTCATTCATTCCAGGGCCCAGTCCATGATCTGGTGCCACCAACAATCAGAGTGGGTTTCCCAACCTCAGTTAATTCAAGTAAGAGATTCCCTCACCAGCACCTCACAGGCCAACCTAATCTAGACAGTTCCTCACTGAGGCTTCTTTTCCAGGAGATTCTTTGTCACATCAAGTCCTTAACAAACAAAACAAACCAGCCTGTCTTCCTGTTTCTAACCTGACTGCCCACACTGGCCCCTTTTCTGCCCTGGGGGACACGCTTCCCTCCTGATCCCTGGCTGCCTCCCTGGTGCCCACTGCCTCTTCTTCCGCCTTGAAGGTGCCTTTTCTCTTATTGCCCTTCCCCCTCCCTCTTGACATAGCCACCTCACTGCTTTGTAGTTACTGGAGTGTCCCAGAGGACAGGCAGGTGGGACTCTTCTTTGTGGCTTCAGAGCTGGTCAGTTGGGGCAGTGTGGTTCACAGGTGCCTTCTCACTGGTTTTCTGAAATGTGGAGGCCAGGAGGCTAATGCTAAACTGCAGTCAGCCTGTGAATCTTGCTGTCTCCCTGGGAGCCAAGGGCCCTGTCCCCAAGCCCTTTCTGGTACAGACTGCTGTCCCTTCTTTCCTCTGCTTCCCTCCTGAGGGTCCCCATTTACTAGTTGCCTCCCCTCACATGCCCCCAAAGCAGAACTGGTACTGTGCAGGCTCTTTCCAGCTGTGAATGTTAGGGCGCCAGGCCATGTCACGCCTGGGGCGGGGAAGGGGGAGACCCTGGAGTTTTCCCAGAGTATGTAGGCCAGCGCTGTGTGTGTTCATGGAAAGGCTTCCATCTGTGGCCCAGCTGTTGGGAGAACGGCCCTCTCTGGTCCCTTGGGGCTCACTCTGCCCTCCCACAGATAGTGCTGTCATTTGAAGAACCCCTTGCCCTCACCCCACCCCTAGGGCCACACTATTTTTCTAGATCAGAGAGCTGTTGCGGGCCTGGGTGGAGGTCCAAGGGAGGTGAGGACGGGATAGTACACGCCTGGGGGACCTTCTTCCTCTGGGACTCCTTCCCATGGCTGTGTGGGCAGCACATCCATAGTAGGTAGAGGAGGAGGCCGGGGTATGGAAGCAGGCCTCCCTACAGGAGAGACTGGCTGTGTGCCTCAGATCGCGTGAGTGCCTCTGGCATGTTTCTCTACCGAGAACCTTGAAAGCATTCCGTTTTAATGTCTCCTTTCTCTTGAACACGAATCTCCCACAGTATCTTCCTCCAACAGGCTACTTGCTCTACCAAACCGTCAATGACTTCCAATGCTGAGTCCCATGGTACCCATCTTTGGCCCTGAGTGATCCCAGTGCCCAGACCCCACCTCTCTGAGACCCTCATTGGCCAATCTGGAGTGAACCTAGGGGCTTGAATTTTTAAGGTTCCATGTGATTCTCAAGAGTAGTGAGGCTGTGAACCCCAATGTAGGATTAGTGTCCTACACAACACTGGTAGCATCCTTTTTTTTCTCTCAGGCTAGGAGGCTACAGCTCCCACATATATTTGCCACTGTCTTTGTTGCTGTCCCCACAGGGTAAACATGCTCGCTGTCAGGTCTGTAAAGTCCTCACTGCCACCTGGACTCCCATCTTCCCTAGGGAACTTCCCATCCATCAGCTTTGCCATCTCCTTTTCTCTAGCATGTGACCTGGTGCTATTTCCAGAGAAGATGCTTGGGGGTCGGGGAGCACACCAAAGTCAGAGGCTCCATACTCCACCCACCTAGGCTTACTTCCCTTCTTCTTTAGGTGGCCTTTTCCTGAACCTTGGAGAGGAGTGAGGGAGGCCCTTTAAGGGCTGAGCATCCATCCCTGCCACTGCAGATCCAGAACCATGGAGAAATAGGCAAGGAAGTCAGATAGGGGCAGGTGGGGTCAGACACTAAGGTGGGCTTTCTCCCCTTTCCAGTCAGAAAGTTGCTGATCCACTGTGGGCCCAGGCTGAGGAGAAGGTGGTAGCAGCTGCATCTTCAAGCCAGAGCTCTATGACACTGGTCCCCTGCCAGGCCATGATTAGAGCCTTATATGCCTCCATAGGGATGCTAGGGGATTAGGAGAGAGAAGTCAGCTCCAGGAGACCGGGGGTGGGGGGGCATGTTGACAGGAATTGGCAGTAGGATCCTGTCTAGAGAACCATGAGTGGGCATTTCACCCTCTGTATCTCAGACCCCCAGCTTTCCAGCAGACAACCTGGCTTTGGAACAGCCTTGTCTTCAGGGGAAAGTAGAGGCTTTTCCTCTCAGTAGGTAGTGGGTTTGAGACCCCCTCACAAGAGCTGGTGGGTCCTGTGGGTCTCTTCTGTGACCAGGCCAGGCTGCTGCCACTAAAATCGCTCTGCTGGGTGCTTAGGCTGTGTGTGTGTGTGTGTGTGTGTGTGTGTGTGTGTGTGTGTCTGTCCGAGTGTCTGATGACACCATCCTTGTCCTACAGGCAAAGGCCACCAAAGAGGTACAGGAAGCTCGGAGGCTGCAGCTGCGGAGCCTGCAGTTCCTGGAGCGGTACATCTACCTGATCCTCTTTAACGCCTACCTCCGCCTGGAGAAGGCTGGCTCCTGGCAGAGGCCCTTCAGCACCTGGATGCGGGAGGTGAGAAAGGATGCTGAGATGGGCAGGCCTGGGGGTGATGGGCTCACAAGGTGGCCGTATCTTTGCTCCTGGTCCCTGAGCATGCTCTGTAAGGACCTGGGTGACAGGCTTCCCCACGGTATGGGAGAGTCCTACTGTCCTCGGAGATTGTGTCTCACTAGGTAGACAGCTGGTAAATATGACAGCTGAATACATGCATGTGTGGAGGAGGGAGATGGGGGTGAGAAGGGCACCTGCCAGGAGCTTGCTCTGTGTGTCTCATGGCCAGCACTGCCTGGATGCCTGGACACTTTGATCCATTATTCTGTTTAACTCCCGTCTGTCCCCTATGAAGGCCAAAGGCAAGTTTGTGTCCTGATTCTGTCTCCTTCCACCATGGCCTTGGACAAGGTGGCTAGCCTTGTGACACTACAGCAGTGTCAGTGGTGTTGGCGTCATCCGGGAAGGTGGTGGCAACTCGGTGACATGTGTGTAGTGCCTCAGCGAGAGCCAGGTGTACTTTAGGTAAGAGGGATCTGTGCAGAGGTTCAGGGACTTCTTTATGGTTGTCATGGGAGCTGGTTGTTGGCTCCTCTTTCCCTAGGACCTCTGTGATCCCTCATTGCCTGGACTTTCAATCCTACCCGGCACCTGCTGGTTAAGAGAGAGGTCTCTTTCCTCCCAGGAAAGCAGCCTGTAATTACTCCTCAGCCAGGAAGCTGGCCCTGTCGACGGCACCATCCATCACCGTTCTAATATGGATTCACGTCCACAGTTAGCTACCAGGATGCGAGTGGGTGGAAAGCTAGAGCCAGGAACTCAGCTGGAGCGGGTGTAGGACAGTTGCAAGGGCTCAGGACTGGATGGAGGCACATTCAGAGCTATAGGGAACAGAATCATGTAGCCGCTGAGCTGGCTTAGGGTAGCCCTGGCTCCCAGACTCACCTAAATGCTTAAGAACTCAGCAAAGGGTGGTCTGAGGACAGTGGGCCTGACGGTGCCTCCTCGCCTGAAGCTTTGCCCCATCTCTGCCCTCTCCAGGTGGCAGCCAAAGCTGGCATCTACGAGATTCTCAATCAGCTGGGCTTCCCTGAGCTGGAGAACACGGAGGACCAGCCCCTGGCAAGGCTCCGCTACCGCTGGCAGGAACAGAGCCGAGACCCAGAGCCCTGTGATGCTGGGGACTTCCTGTAGGCCTTCCTCTTGCTCCTTGCCCAGGCAGGCTGGGGGCCTGAGGTTCTCATTGCTTCAGATGGATACTTGCCGGCTTCCTGGAGATCCTGAGGGCCTGAGGGCTTTTGGATAGAGGTTTTTGTAGGATTTGTAGATGGCACAGCTGTTCTCTGTAAACCCTTGGGGTGTGTAATGGACTCTGGCAAGGCCCAGCATGTGTACCTCACAAACCAGCTGGCGCACAGCCTTCAGGGAGCTCACTATCCAAACAGTCACTATCACTGTCCCCTTCTCACTATTGGTCACCAGACTGCCTAGGTGGGCAGCAGGCTGGGCATATTTTCACTCCCTTCCTCTGGCTGGCTTGCTCTTGCTTCTCACTCTTTCATCCTGAGCAGTTGCCTGAGGGCGGTGAGGAGGATGGTGAGCTGGGCAGGTCTGTGTTAAAGGCAGCTCTGTCGCCAGCCTGGAAGCCTGTGAACATGGCTCTACCACTCCCACCCTTCTTTCCCCATTTCCTTCCCTAGGCTGGCAGAGGTGAATGTTTCCCAGTTGGAAATATCAGGAAAAGGGCTTGTGGAGGCCACTGAGGCAGTGAAGAAGCGGGTTTGTTAGAAACCTATTGGCAGGACCTAGGGTCACTCACAGGAGAGACTTGTGAATAGCAGAGGGTGAGACAGGGTCTCGGCGGCTTGCTGGGCCTCAGATTCCAGGTCCACTCTTGCCAGGATCCTGAGCTGCTTTCCTGGGACGCCACTGAGCAGTTTCATTCACACAGCGGAAGATGGGCATAGAAGGCCTTGTTCGGTGAGTCTTAGCTGAGATTGCAGTTTGTGGCAACCAGTGCTTGAACACCCAGGAGCCTGGCTACCTGCTTCACTCTTTGAGGGACAGGGTTGAGTCTCTGGGCTCCTGTCCTTGAGTGGAAAGGACCTGTCAGCTGTTAGCTGTGATATTTGAAGAGGCTGAAGTTGTTTCCAGCCTGGAGAAGTGGTAACCCTCTTAGCTGAATTCTTTTGCAAGCTGCTGTATGTCTGTTCACAGCTTCTCAGGTTTGCTGGTGTCTGTTTTATGCATGTCAGTTTTTTTTTTTAAAAAGGTCTAGCCAAGGAGTCAGAGACCAGAGAGAATATCCTTTACACTATCATGGTTGACACTGACTTGGAGGTATGCTGGGACCAGTGGCAGATTGCTCTGCCTCAGTTTCCTTGTCTGTAAAATGGGAGAATAATACTTATTTTACTACCTACCTCACAGGGGTGTTGTGAGGAATCCTTTATGGTTTTTTTGTTTTGTTTTGTTTTGTTTTGTACAGAGCTTTTGAGCATTAAAAACAGTATAAACATGCAATTTGCTGCTTCGCTGATTGATCTTTAGTGTGAGGCAGACATTACAGAAGCCACTCAAATAAAGCAGTCCCCTGTTCCTTCAGGGTGAGGGTGGATGCAGGGTGGATGGAAAGTTCTCATTACCGGCACTCCTGATGTTCAGAGGCTGTGTGTCACAGGCCTCACCGCCGCCCTCTGTGCCATCAGTCACAGCTTACCGTCTCATATTGGATGTCTGAGGTGGTCATGCTGACCCCTGCTTGAATAAACAACACCATCAGCCATCGACCAAGAAAATGTACCACAGGCTTGCCCTCAGGCCAATCTAGGTCTTAGCGGGGGGGTTGTTTCCCAAATGCCTCCAGCTTATGTCAAGTTGACATAAAACTAACCAGCCCAGTGTTTATAGACACTCACACAAAGAATTCCAGGGCTAGCTTTGTGATGAGCTGGAGATTTTTTATTACAGATTTTTAAGAAAGAATGATGCTCAAAGTGGAGTTAGGGCCTATTAAGGAGGACAGGCCTCAGCCCCACTTCCTCTGCAGACACCCATGAGCCCTGCCCAGAGCTCTCAGGCGCTGTTCTCATCTCTTTTCCATTTATACCATCTTGGTTTGGATGTCAGATATTCCCCCTAGGCCTCTGTGTTTGAAGACTTTGTCTGAAGTATGCAGAACTTTTGGAAGATGGCGCCTCACTGAGAAGTGTTCTGCATGGAGCTGGCCCAGAGGTCTTACAGTCCAGCCCCACTTCCTGTCCATTCTCCACTTCCTGGCTTCTGATGCAGTGTGAGTGGCTCCCAGTGCTCCGGTCACCACAGTGGATCACATCCTTTCAAACCACGAGCCGAAGCAACCCTCCTCAAGTTGCGTCACGTCAGGTATTTTTGTCACGACAAGAGAAATAGTGAACGCATACATTGACTCGCTAGGCCATTTGAGGGTTCCGACGTGGGCTTTCTGAGGCAGCCCCTGTACTAAATCCATACGGCTGTATTCATGTCCGTTCTCACAGTGTATTTCTTTCTCCATACCGTCCAGGGTATAAATAGCCTCCAAACCAGGCTATTTATCATCCCTGTGACAGTTGCCATCCTTGACCACTTTGAGGTGACATTTCTGTGTCGAGGGGAGATGTAAACACTATCTCATTACTACAGAGCACAGGAGATGAGGGGTGGCTGGTGACTTCAAAGCAGCTTCACCCCAGCATGGATGTTGGCTTCCCTGCAGCCACTTAGATGGAGTCCCCACTTCCTGGGCCTGTGAACTCTTAACGCCCCACAAGCCCCAGGAACACATGCGGTTATGGCAGAACTGCCTGCAAATGATTGCGAGGAGCAGCGGGAACCTCGGATGAAGGTCCAGTTCGTCTCCCCACCTTCTGTGAGGGAGCATAACAGTCAGCAGCCCTGCTTATGACAGACACTTACAGGTCCATTTACTTTAAGGCTCCCTAGTGGCATTGGCCAATTTCCCATTGCTTGCCGGCTGACACCCATGCACACATACATAAATTCACATCTTAAAACACAAGTCAGAGAAAAGGGGGGTGCTAAGTATTTGAGGTGTAACCGGGACATCAAAATGGTCCGTCTGTTGAGTTGTGGTCCTCCGTTGTAGGGCTGTACAGTTGAGAGTGTATCTCGCTTTCTGTGAGTCCCTCTTGGTCGCAGTGTGCTCTAGTTCTCTCCTTGAACACTGTTCTTTCTTAAAACATGTAATAAAATCTCCAACTCTGCTCTGTCATAAGGCTAGTTCCGGAGTTCTTTCTGTATGAGTGTTTGGTGTGCAGCTAGTTTTACGACAAGCTAGAGTCATTTGGGAAGAGGGAAATTCAAATAAGGAAACTCTCCCATTAGATTGGTATGAGAGCAATATTTTCTTGATTGATGGTTAATGTGGGAGGGCCCAGCTCGCCATGGATGGTGTCATCCCTGGGCTGGTGGTCCTGGGTCCTATACAAAAGCACACAGAGCAAGCCACGGGGAGCAAGCCAGCAAGCAGCACTCCTCCATGGCCTCTGCATCAGCTCCTGCCTCAAGTTCCTGTTCTGACTTCTTCAGATGATGAACTCTAAGCTGTAAGATAAATAAAGCCTTTTCTCCCCAAATTGCTTTATCACAGTGCTAGAAACCCTAATGAAGACAGATGTATATGAGGGGTGTGTGTGTGTGTGTGTGTGTGTGTGTGTGTGTACTAGTACATGAGCAGAAGCCAGAGGAGGGGGTTGGGGGGTTACTTTACCACCCTCCGCCCTGTTCTTGTGAGCAGGGCCTCGCTCTCTCTTTTAATTTTAAAGATTTTAATTTGTTTTATGTTTGAGTGTTCTGTCCACATGTGTGGCTCAACACCAGAAGAGGGCATCAGATTGCAGGATAGATCGTCGTCAGCCACCATGTGGTTGCTGGGAATTGAACTCAGGACCTCTGGAGGAGCATACAGTGCTGTTAACTGCTGAGCCACCTCTCCAGCCCCTGAGCAGGGTCTCTTGCTGAATCTAGAGCTTGACTTCTTCAGTTAGGCCAGGCAGCTAGCAAGCCCCTCCCTCCATGGTCCTCTTATCTCTGTCATTCCCCTTCAGGGCTGGGGTTGCAGGCACACCTGGGACTATGCTCAGCTTTTGTATGGTTTTAAAAAGACGACTTTTTGAAACTTCTTTATCTTTGTATGTGTGGGGTGTGGGTATATGTGGGTACTGAGGTGTCCATGTAGTACAGCACACATGTGATAGTCAGAGGGCAGCTTTTAGAAATTAGTTCTCTCCTTCCGTAATGTGAGGCCTACGATTGAACTCAGGTCATCAGGCCTGGCAGCAAGCACCCTCACCCACAGAGCCATCTCCTCAACCCCAGAAAGTTTCATGGTATCTTCATTTACATATTAGCAAAAAAAATTTCCTTGCTGCCTTTGTGATGAATATTTTGTTGCGTAGCCACTTAGTAAGTTTTTAAAATCCACTTCTTTATTCTAGAGGTATGGTGGTATAGGTGTCATCAACTCATGTGTTGAGATTTTTAAATTTTGTTTTGCTTTTTAGCCCAGGCTAGCTTTCAATGGATTCTCTTGCCCAAGTGCTAGGATGACACTCGTGTACCACCTAACTGTTCAGTGTCTTGCCAACGTATATTCCTATGGGTCACAGCTTAGGGAGAACGATATTGTACATGGAGTCATTCTTTACTGTTAATACCTGTAAATGGTGTGCTCTTGCCTAGCCCATGAGGACCCAGATTTAATTCCCCAGAAGCATCAGAAAACAAACAAACAAACAAAAGACCTCCAAACAGCCTTTTTTCAACACCTCCCAGGCTGTCTTCAAAGGCTGATTTTTGTGGGGATAATAATAAGGACATGCTGAGCTATTTCTCAGAGAAAAGTTTCCATTTTAGGCATAAAGAGGATTATCAGAAGTATGGCCAGTAGAGGGACTCTGAGAGCTGAGCAGCAGGGCCTTGGGCAGTGGTAGTATGGTCTAGAGGGCTGCTCAGGGAGCCTCGAAGCTTCCTCTGTCCTTCCAGGTGCTGTTCAAATCCGAAGACAACCTGCTGTGCAGAGCGGGTGCCCAGCATCAGCATCTTCCTTCAAGCCTATGCCTTGTTCATACTCATGCCAGTTCCTACCCAGCACAGTCTGCCCTAGTCTGCTCTGTCCAGTCACTGGGCATTCAGAGGACACACAGCTGGACTGTCCCAGTTTCTTAAAGCCTGGCTGGGCCACCCATTACACAAGTTGAATAATGGCCTGGCTACACTGTAGCAAATGGCTTCTCCTTTCCTGGATCTGTGATGGTGTCAGACTGGGGCCCTTCATACTCAATCACTCAGTGGTGCAGCTCTGAGGACCTGAGTGACACCCTGCTGCTCCTTCAGCATCTCTGAGTGTCTGCTGTGCTCTTGCTGCCAAAGGTAGCCCTTTTCTGGTTCTGCTTTGGCAAAAGTGACTGCCTAGCTAGTCCCCTGCCCCCCCCCCCCATCTCACATGGGGAACCACCACTCCTGTGGACTGCCTAAGGAGACAAAGGATTGTTATCCTGTGGAGGGCAGGGCTACTGGAGAGGCTTTAGCAGTCTGGGCTGAGAACCAGGTCGACAAACCCTGAGTTTGAAGATGGCAGTGCCAATCTCTAGCTATTTATCAGAGAAGTGGATGCCTATGAGGGGATCTCATAGCCACCTTCAAGTTGTTCCCCTTCAGCGATGGCCTCTGAACAATCTCAAACAGCAGTGAGTGCTACTCCCTACCTTGGCTGCCACTGTCTGTTATATCTCTTAAAATGTTCTTGCCAGGGACTGGGGGTGTGGCTTGATAAGTACCATGCTTGCCTAGCTTGTGGGAATTCCCAGCACCAAATAAAATTGGATGTGTAGATAATCCCAGAACTCCGGGAGCAGAGACAGGAATATCAGGAGTTTGGGATACATAGTGAGACCCTGCCCTAAAGAAGGAAAAAAGGAGAGATCTTGAGCCCTGTGGCAAGCTGGGGTGACAGAGTGGAGACTGAGGGGACAAGTGACTTAGAAGAGGCCCTGTCAGGCTCTTGAGGTTCTGGTTGGAGCCCTGTGTATTGTCAAGTGATCCCCTCCGCACCCAAAGTGCTTTCATCTGAAGCCACACCAATGACATGGGCCTTTGAAGTGTTTTGCACGGCCTCTCAGTAGATTCTTGTCTCCTTCCACATCAGCCACAATGAATTCATCTGAGCTGGCCTGGAAGTGATATGCTTGCTCTGGGTTCAGTGGGTCAGGCTTCGGGGCCCCCAGTCCAACACCAGCTGCTTAGGAAGTGCTGTTTCCCATTTCCCAGATGGGCAGACACTCAGGGCCATGGTCTGCAATTGTCAGTCTGAAAGGGAAAACAACGGCAGCAGCAGTAACAACAAAACTCCAAGCCAAGGACTTCTATTTATTTTTTCTTAATGTAACTCTCCCAGAGTACTGTCAAGGCTGGAACATTCTCTCATGTATTTATTTATCCACCATTTGGACTGACGCTTAGATAGTTTCCACTGCAAT